AAAATATGTACACAAGGGTATTTACCATCCTGATTACAATTATGACACTCATTCTTGGCGCTGGCGCCAAGGGATGACACTACGATTACCTCTTGGGCTCAGCCTTAGCGGAGCGCAGGTAATCGTAGTGTCATCCATTAGCGCCAGCGGCAAGAGTGAATGTCATATTCGTAATCAGGATGTTAAACTACCCCTACATACAAGTTTTTAGCGGATTTGGTAACTTAGGCAATTTAAAAATGAGCTCGGTGCCGAAGTTGCTGGAGTCCAAACGGCATTAGCCAGCCCTCGCGAGGGAAACGGTCACTTCGCCGCATTCTCCCAACCCTCAACCAAAGCAGGGCTGTAATTGCAGTGTTACGCTAGTGTCTAACCTCATACCTACTTTAGCCTTCTTTTGAACCGTATTTTTAATAAACTGAATTCTAACATCGTTGCCATTAGTAGCGCCACATAACTCCTCGGAAGAATGTTGGTTTTGTAATAGAAGCATGTTGACGTAGTTGAATGTCGTAATATTAAATATTATACCATCGTTGTTCTTAACGAATATCAGTTTTGCGTGAATTGATTTGGTACTAATTTGTGCCAGAGTGATTTCTAACCCCCACCAAAGATGCTTACAGTAAGTTCTCGACGCTTTCTTCAACTCTCAAGTGTGGCAATGGCAGCATCCAATATCTATCAGTTCAAGGTGAAAGACGCTGACGAGAAGGAAGTCTCTTTGGATAAATACAAGTGAGTTAGTAACTTTCCCCCGTGTCTTCCTAGCGCATGCTCAGCTTTAAGAGGTAAAGTTGTAAGATTCAGGACTCTGGATTAGTCCTTTTGTTGTTTTGGGAAGGGCAGTGGCTACGTTATAGTCCGCCACTCTGTCGCCTCCAAGGCAAGGCTAGGCTAATGGAGACAAATCTTTGTGCCGAGCACCCTGGTCGTCTGCTCTCTAGGCGGTAGGCTTTAGCTGCACTGATTCCTTTTTATTTTTTTTTTCTCTCTCTGCTTTTTTTTTTTTTTTGTTAGGGGAAAAGGGATACGCGAAGCCGCGGGCGAATGACACCACCGTCTCCCCTTCTTAACGTTAGCGGCCTCGCGGCTACATTGTCTAAATTTTTATCTTGATTTATTTTTGTCGCAAGTGACAGTCAGATAGGATCTTCAAAGGCGCCGAAAGTATCTGTCTAAATGGATCTACTACGCACGTACGGGATCCCTCACCAGTCCATGTCGTTTGTGGCGAAAATAGAAACATCCTCATTGGGCATGCAGTTTCGCTTTCAAAAGGTTTCCACTTTTCATGCTTTAGGGAAAGTACTCATCGTTGTGAACGTTGCATCGCAATGTGGTCTGACCAATGCGAATTATACTCAATTCAAAGAACTTCTGGATAAATACAAGTCTCAGGGATTGGAAGTGGCTGCATTCCCGTGCAATCAGTTTGGTGGGCAGGTACGCTATCATGTTATTGCGGTTTTTTTTTGCACTCATACTTTACTGATAAGAACTGTTCAGGAACCCGCTTGCGAACTTGATATCAAGAATTTTGTGGCTAGCAAATTCAATTTCGAGCCAGATCTCTATGCCAAGGTCAATGTGAATGGTGATAATGCGGATCCTCTATTCAAGTTTTTGAAGAAGGAGCAGGTGGTACTTACAGTTTTATTCGCTTCTGAATGAGTAGGCCAGCAGATTTGACGAGATTTACATTGGAAGACGGAGAAGACAATCGTAACTCGTCGCGTTGTCGCGCGCGGCGTACTTTGCGGCGATGCGCATGAAATGAAATTTGTTTGGATTCAAGTGGATATAAGACTATATGACGAGCGATATCAAATTTCCCCGTCTCCCAAACAGCCAGGCAGACTAACTCTTCTACTGGCGTCGCTTGCTGGCCACATCAGCATGGCAAATTAACACTGAGAGCTCCAGAGATGTTTCAGCCCCAGGTGGCCTCTACCCTTCAATAATTGCATTTTCTAATTCATAGCTTCATTCTCATTTGAGGACATCTCATTTATGAGATTGTTGGGTGAGCGGACACTGGCGCGCCCTTCTCTTTTCACCATCTTCACCACAAAAGCCAGGACGAGGAAGGGAGAGCCGCTGAGTCTAATGGAGCTAACCCACATAGCAATCCCTAACGTTTCCTTATACATAGTCTGGAAATCTTTGAAAAATAAAGATATTATTACCTGAGATGATATCAAAATATCTTGCTTTTCAGGGCGGTACAATGTTCGACGCTATCAAATGGAATTTCACAAAGTTCTTGGTGGACAGAGAAGGAAATATAGTGAAAAGGTACGTCGAATGCAGTGGTCTTCCCTATCGGAGTGGTCCCATTTCCCTGGCAGGGCATATCTCACATTGTTTATCATCG